GGGCTATCAATTGCACAGATAAAAAATGCAAAATAGAGAAAACGGTGCTCTAATGCCAACAGGGCAAAAGGTACGCCCACGCAGGGGATATCAATGGCACATAAGTTACAATACCATGTAACTCTGACTATAACAACTAAAGGCAGCTGTCCACTGTCACACCAAAAACAAACAGAGAAAGAGAGAGAGGAAGAAAAAGGAAAAAAAAAAAAGGGAAGCAGGGGTCCAAGAGCGCCAATACCGAACGCCATTACATCCCCAGACTAGCCCGGGGGAGTGAGGGAAAGGCATATTGCAACCACGGCTCCCATATTTTCAAAAATTTACGTTGGGAGTCGTTGCAGATACTCAACATCTGTTCGTTGAGCATCATAGTGGTCATACGATCCCGCACCCCCTGAAGAGGGACAAACGGACTCTTCCAGGCCTGAGCAATTGTTCTAGTGGCCGATAAAAACAAATAGGAAGCCAACTTCTGCTGGTGAGCCAAGAGGCCCGGTATGGGGCAATGAAGCAAGACATACTGAGCATCCCGGCGTATGGAGAGATGGAACAAGGTGAAAAGGAGGCCAAACACACGAGACCAAAAACGAAACAGTCTCGGGCATGACCACCAGATATGCAATACATCGCCACGATGGCCACAACCCCGAAAACGAGCCGGAACCCAATACCAACGGAACAATACCTTATAGACTGCCTCCAGCGTGGTCGTATTAAATGAGCATTTAGCTATGAGTGACCAGGCCTTATTCCAGTCCTCCGGATCCACAGCCACTCCCAGGTCGCGCTCCCACTGAACAACATATGAAAGAGAAGTATGCGACGAGTGTCTGTTCAGAGCTGCATAAAGAAGGGATATAAGGCCCGGGGCGCCCAGACGCTGCTGGCAAAGCTGTTCAAAGGCAGATTTCTGGTACGGGAAAGCAGAAGTGCCCCGCAGCGAGAGCAGCCAGTGCCACAATTGAAGGTATCGAAAAACTTCCGCCGGGGGGACTGAACTAACAAATGTAAAGCCTTTTTATTAATGTTTAATATAAGAGAAAAACCTTCTATGTCCTTAAAAGGATGAAAATGAAAAGTTTGGGCAGAGCCATATATGTTTAGAAGTATTTGTTTTACGAGAAAAAAATTACTCACCTAGATAGAAGTGGCAGGGGACAGAAGCAGCATCAGACCGATGCTGCATCCAAGACTGCACTGAGCGATCAGTGGTCTTAATTGCTCAGTTCTCAGTAGGGATGCACCAAAATATTGGTGACCGAAATGCATCGGCCAAAAATGTCAGCATTTTTCTGATAGGAAAAAAGGTGCCGATAATGGCCGCCGAAAGCGCATGATTTTACTTGCAATTTGCAGCTATTTTACCATGTTTTAGGGTGCTTTTTTCATAGGTCATGTGACTAAAAAAACCACTCATCAAACGGCAACATGTGTGCTTTTTTTGTTGGGTTTTCAGTGCATTTCAGGCCTGGTTCACACCAATGCAGTTTGCGTTTTGTCCGTTTTGCAGCACATTTTGCGTTTTTGCATGTGCCTTTTTGAAGCGTTTGCACTTGTTTTAATTTTCTTTCTTTTTGGCCAACTTGCTGCTGGGCAGATTAAAAACACAAAACTCATCAAAAACGCAACGCGTGTTTTTGATTTATTTTCAACGCATTTTAGGCCTGGTTCATAACAGTGTAGTTTGCGTTTTGTCTGTTTTTGCAGTGCGTTTTTACATTTTTGCATGGACCTTTTTACACTTTTTTATGCGGTTTACACATAAAAAAAGTAATGCAGCAAACACACCAAAAAACGCACTACGTGTTTTCTGCAGCACCTCCTTTTAAGTCTATTGAACCTAAAACGCAACATTTTGTTTTTTAAAAAAGTCCCTGAACCTTTCCAAAAATGCAGCAGCTCCAAAAATCATAGATGTGAACGTGTCCCATAGGTAACCTAGCTAAATGGATTGTAGTGCATTTCCGCAAAAAGCCCTTAAAAACACATTGATTGGCGTGAACCAGGCATCAGTGGGGAGGTGCGTTTTTTTTTTTATTTTAACTCGCCAAGTATGCACCAAAAATGTGGCAAGCAGGATTTTTAACACTGCAAGGGAAGTGCAATGGACCAGTGTGAAGACACACCTTGAATTTAAAGAGATGCATTTTTCTTGAGCCTCTGCAAAAACTGCTTGTGTGAAAGCAGCCTATTGGCTGAAAAAGTGCTGAAAATAAATTCACATTTATTTAAATTCATGATATTAAATAAAAAAGTCGAATATAATACAAATTTATATATATAATTATTATTATTAATTTTTATTTTTTTTTCCCCCCAAAAACTGTCCATTTCGGTTTTCGGCCAAATGCGTCCTGAAGTTTCGGTCCAAGAATTTTCATTTCAGTGCAAAAACTAGTTCTCAGTCTTCACTGACCAGTGATCTGGGGATTGTCAGTCATCTGTCTGCTTACTGGAGCGTAGGTCTGTGGAGGGGGTGAGTGAGGCTAGCTCATGCTCTCAGCAGATCGCTGAGAGGCTTGGCCAGCTGCTGGTCTAGGCACCTGGGTGGATCCTGACCATATGGTCGGGATCTTTTCAGAGCCTGAACCAGCTGTTTGCTGTCAGCCGACAGCAGGCTTTGGCTTGCTGTCAACTGAAAACAGATCACAGGATTGCAGAATGAATTGCACTTCTGTGATCCATAGGGGGAAGTATAGCCAAAAAAGCTTTGGTTGTACTTTTCATCTGAAAATAAATATACCTGTATTTGACTTGTGTTACCTGTCAGAGGATTTTTGATTTTTTTTTGTCAATTTTCTGATTTTCGCACATCTGCTACACTGCACAGCCAGACGAGGTGACACCTAGAAAGGCGGCATCACAGCTCATCACAAAGCACAGTGCACACTGCAAAACATTTCTGCCAGAACAAAATTTTTTGCATTGCAGCCCATTCATTTTAAAAACACAAAATGCTCAATTTGGAAACAAAAACGCATGTATTACAGCCAAACGTGTTGTAATATAAACAGGCAATTATTGTCCAACAAAGAGGCTGATGACCCAGAAAGGGCGTGATCTGCTGTATTGTAAGTGTGTTGTGTACTGTATGAATTACAAGTCTGATTGTACAGAAGAACAATTCCTTCAGTGTACAGTAGTTGGAGTTCAGTTAGTCTTCAGAACAAATGTGCTGTCTTCAAAATGTCAGTTCCCAAACAGATTTGAAAATCTATACCATACCAGATCTATCAAACTTAACGTTCCAAAGTATGTTCTCAACCGCACTTTAAGGCTTCATTCACACGACCTTAAAATGTTACTGATGTTATTACATGTTAGGAGTAAAATTTGTATGTAACATACTTGCGTATGAATGCAATTAAATAAGGAAAGACGCATATGCGAGCATAATTTGTTTTTACGATAATTTTGTTTTCCCCTTTGTCTAGATTTAATATACATACAAACGTGTATACATGCGTTCATACAAATAATAGCGTACAGCGCATGTTCTTAGATGCAGATTTTTGATACTATGTTATGGATCTGAAAGAAGCTCATGTTTATGCAGCTGTGTAAATGGCTCAATTGCCAACAAAGCCACTGTATTCAGATCCATAATTAAAAAAAAAACACTTGTATATGCGTATGTTTATGTGTTAACCACTTCCAGTCCGGACACTTTTACCCCCTTCCTGACCAGGGCAATTTTCAGGTTTCAGCGCTATCACACTTTGAATGACAATTGTGCGGTCATGCAACACTGTACCCATATGAATTTTTTACCATTTTTTTGAGACAGATAAAACTTTATTTTGGTGGTATTTATTCACCGCTGGGATTTTTTTTTTTTTTTTTTGCTATGTAAATGAAAATGTCCAAAAATTTTGAAAAAAAGTGTTTTTCTTATAAAAAATTTGCAAATAAATAATATTTCATCATAAATCTTGGCCAAAATTTATTCCGTTATCTTTTTAGTAAAAAAAAAAAATTAGCCAAATTAGTTTATAACCAAAAATTATAATTTTTAAACATTTTTTTTACATTTTTTTTAATATTTAATTTTTTTTTACATACTGTCACCCTAGCAGTACAGTGTCACCATGGTGACACTGTACTACTTTTGGGGGTGATAGAGATTTTTTTTTTTTTTTTACACTGATTGCTTTTACACCCATATAGGATGTAAAAGCAATCATTTCTCTTTCTCTCTGTCTGCATTCTTGCAGCCATTGAGAACTACTGAGTGAGCTGTAATTGGTCACAGCTTGTCACATGGTACAAGGCTGTTGTGAATAGCCTTGTACCATGTGACCTCTGTGATCATTCACAGATTTCACACGTAGTAAGCAATGATGTCAGAAGTGACATCTTGCTTACTACTTTGCATGTGATCACTGATTGGCCAATCAGTGATCACATGATTGGGACCTCGTACAGAGGTCCCTTCCAATGATCGATGTTTCACTGTGTCCGGAGGACACAGCGGGGACCGGATCGCGGTGCTGCGCGCTCCCGGGGAGCTCGCACAAGCAGGGTGCGGGGGAGGCCATTTATAAACGGCCACCCAACCCTGTAGCGCCACTGTCCGGCCGTTTATATACGACAGCCGGTCGGGAAGTGGTTAATGAAGCATAAAGGCAGACAATGCCTAAATCCAGGCTCCTACAGTGCATTAACTAAGGTGTCACTTTCTTACAGTGGTTAATTGTTTACTGTGTCCAACAATAGGGAGTCCACCTATTAACTGGGACATCATCATTGACTTTGCAACACATACAGTAGTTGGGCGAAATTGGGAGTTCAGGTATTGACACCCCACCAAAGGGAGTACCCAAGAGATTTAAGAAGTCTGCGTGAATTTGCTTCACAGCAACCACACAAAACTAACATTTCTAGGTTGGATAGGGCTTGATTTCTAAATGTTTTAAATGCTGCTTATCTGATTTGTTTTAATTACCTTGTTTTTAGTTGTTTGCTTTATAAAGTGTACATGTACTTCCATCTTTTAGGTCTGATCCTGAAAAAATTGCTTCACACCGGAAACTCCTTAAAGGTCAGTAAAGTAGAACAGAGATGGGTAGAGCTGTTTGTGGGTGCGAATCTATTTTATATACATTGACAGCTTAATTATAAATAAAAAAAAAAGGTGGTCAGCGGTCATGCAGCCTCATAGGACAGTCAGAGGAGAATGAAAACTCTTACAAGCTTAAATCAGTGCACAGGTGGACACTGATAGAAGTCACAAGACTGCTATATACTGCTGATGAGAAAAAGGTATTTAGCAGTTTAGGTTTACTAAAATAATTGCATTGCCATGTACTGTGGGAGACCAAATATAGCGAATGCAGGGTCCTGGGTATAGTAGCACTTTAAAGTCAACAGTAAAATCAGTCTGTATATGCAGTAAAGCATGCTTGTTATGCTCACTGTGGAACCTAAGGGGTTAATCCTCTGAATTGTATAAAAAGGCTGTTTGATCCTTTCTTCTCTGCCCCTCCTCTTGTTGAAATGTCCACCTGATACAGACTGAATCCGTAGTCACATGCACATGCTCAGTTTGGTGTGTATTGCTAGAGAGGGTTTTTTTTTTTTCTTTGGAGAGTGCATGTGATGAGCACAGGGCCAATCAGCACTGTGCAGACAGGTCAGGGGTTTTGCATCCTCTTAGAGCAGAAAGAAAACTTCTCCTACAAGCTTTAACCAGTGCTCTGCTGAAGTCACAAGACTGCTCTAACTGCTGATGAATAAAGGTATTTAGCAGTTTGTATTCACTAAAATAATTGCATTTCCATGTTGTGTGTACTGTGGGAGACCAGATATAGTGAATGCAGGGTCCGGGGTTTAGTAACATTTTAACTTCAGCTAACTTTTTTTTTTTTATGTGGTTACTGCAACAATTCATTTTGGGATAAAGGCTTTCCATAAATAAATACAAGCTGACCATTGTAAGCTCCCCGTCAGGGTTAAATTGTTTGCATGAATCCTCTAACTTCAGCTTTTCCTGCACAGATTGGTCTGTTAAAGCAAGTTAAAAAATAGGAGCCTCAAATAAATATGTACTACAACCACCACATCTTAGAATTGGTAAACTGCGATATAATAAACGTTTGTTTTTAGATTTAATGCAACTTTAAATCTGCTATTTTTACTTAATGGTTGTAGCAAGAGCTCAGAATGAGTAGTCCTTGAAAACACCAATATCATTTTCCTCAAATAACAGAGCAGTGATAACAGATAATAATATTTACAACTATCGAAATTAGTGTTGCTTCTGAGTGCAAACAAATGAATCTGTCATTTCCTGCAACTGCAAACACGCTGACATGCTGGATGCGAAATAGGAAAATGGAAATCTATTATTTCTTCTGTTGCCCTCTGTATATGATATATGTGTCTAAATTATAAAATCCGTCAGCTTTGTTTTATCTTTGAGTCGGTTCACACCAATACGCGATGCCGAAAAGCATGTTGCATGTTTCCTGCTCCACGTTCAAAACTGCGCAAACTGTTGGCACTATATAAATCCTGTACAATAGTAATAATAATAAAGCGCACCGGCGATTCTGGCGTGAACCAGCCCTAAGAGCGTAATCAACACAGCGTTAAAGTGTATGTTACCCCAAAAAATTTGTATACGTTGTGTATTTGTCTATGTCACTCTCAGGTGTATACTACCCTAAAAATATTTCTTTTATGTGTCTATGTAGCAGTTGGTAAATATACCTTGCTCCGTTTTCATGTCTTTTATTGCTTTCTAAAACCAGGTGATCCTGCCAGTTTCCATATCCTGGTTTTGAAATCCGACTACGCCAGACAGGGAAGCAGATCTGTGATGGCGTGGTCCTTAGGGCTCATGTACACTGCAGCTGCTAAACTGACATTCAGGAGCTGTTCAGCGTTTTTTTTTCAGCAGCCCCTGAACTCACCCTAATGTTTACCTATGTGTACATGTGTACTATGTCGTTTACAGTCTTTCACAGGTAGTTGAGTTTACAGTCGGTTTTTTGAACACACCAAACTTGCATTCAGGAGTAGATTTTACCGGCGTTTCAAACGCTTGTAAACGCGGTTAACCGCATTTATAGCGTTTGCATTTAGAAGCGTTTTTAACTGTTCCATATCCAGAAGCTGTCCAGAGCCTGTTTTTCATCATCAGAAATGCATGCAAAGCGTTTTCCATGTATTCAAATGGACCCGGTACACCAGCGTAGTCAGTTCCAGGTTTTGCGTGAATGAAAAAATAGTAGAAGTGCCACATTATGCTCATGATGGGATCCATAGTGAATACAACCAGAAAAGACAGCTCATCTCAACACATACTGCTGTCCAGGGGCGGACTGACCATTTAGAAACTAGGGCACTGCCCGAGGGCCCGTGGTCAGTAGGGGGCCCCATGAGATGTCCCTGGTACCTTTTTCATAGGCTTTTTTGAGTTTGGGCAAGGACACAGGGGCCCCATGATCCCCTATTGCCCGGGGGCCCCATGAGTTGTCAGTCCGCCCCTGCTGCTGTCTCTGCTTCTGCTCTCTCTATTCTTCTCAAAATGTCTGAAATAGTTAATTTTTTACTATTTTTCAGTGCATTCTGGGCATTTGGGAAGGTCTCCTGAGGTTATCTTTTAAAAACGCTTCTAAACGTAAACGCTTCTAAACGCAGTATGCAAACGCGACTAAACTGACATTTTTTAATCTACGTTTCCCAGCAGTCAGTTTGCATCGTTCAGAAGAGTTTTCCAAACGCCCCGTGTACATGAGCCCTTAGCTTGCTAACATACAGCGTGCCTGTATCTCCCGTCCGTATGGACGCCATGCCCCTTTCCCCTCCTTTTCCAGCTGCAGCTTGTAGGAACACAGCACACACAGATAGGGATTCGGCATGTGAAATGACCAGCTTGGGCCAGGTTTCTTTGGCAAATGACAAACAGCCTGGATTTGGGTTGAACCCAAACTCCATCCCTATTATCCAGTTGCTGACAGGGAAACTGAGAACTGCTTGTCATCCACACTTCATACATGAAATGTCATATAGTTGTTCCAAGTGAAACACTTATAAATGGGCAATCATTGACAGACCTGGTAAATAGATAACCTGGTGAAATGCATTCTGAACACTTGCAGTGGCAGTTATCAGATCCGGAATTCTCATTACTAGGCCGCATTTGCATATACAGAATTTGTACGGAACTGTTATTGTAGTGCTGAAGCTTGCAACTCGAGATTGTGCATATGCAAATGAACGTGGGGCAAAGTTGTCAGAAAAAAGTATCATCCCAGTAGGGATCATTGTCCCATGCAGTGCATACAAAGCATATCTAAACCTAAAAACAGAAATGTATATTTCAGTTCTTATATATTCTGGAAGCATTTGCTTTCTTTTTTTTTTTTCTTTTTTTAAAGCTATGATCATTTAAGTATAGAAAAATACCTTTTATATTTTATGTACAAACTACAAGTTCCATCAATCCAACAGTAAAAACAGTCTGTATATGCAGTAAAGAATGCTTGTTATACTCAATGTGGAGCCTAAGGGGTTAATCCTCCGCATTGTGTAAAAAGGATGTTTGATCCTGTTTCCTCTGATCCTCCCCTTCTACTGTCCCCAATCCATCTGCTGGTAGAACAGAGCCTTGAGGGCAAACTGCACATGCTCAGTTTGGTGTGTATTGCTAGAGTTTTTTTTTTTTAATTCTTGGGAGGGTGCATGTGATCATCAGAGGACTGATCAGCACTGTCTAAAGATTGGGTCATGGGTCCCGCAGCCTCATAGGACAATCCTGGGAGAATGAAAACTCCTTCTTACAAGCTGTAACCAGTACTCTGCTGGACCCTGATAGAAGTCACAAAACTGCACACTTTAGTAACACTTTAAAGTCAACAGCAAAATCAATCTGTATATCAGTAAATCATGCTGGTTATGCTCACTGTGGAACCTAAGGGGTTAATCCTCTGAATTGTATAAAAGGGCTGTTTGATCCTTTCTTCTCTGCCCCTCCTCTTGTTGAAATGTCCACCTGATACAGACTGAATCCGTAGTCACATGCACATGCTGAGTTTGGTGTGTATTGCTAGAGAGGTTTTTTTTATTTTTTTTTTTTTCCTTGGGAGGGTGCATGTGATCATCACTGTCCAGTCAGGAGTTTTGCATCCTCTTAGAGCAGAAATAAAACTTCTCCTACAAGCCTTAACCAGTGCTCTGCTGAAGTCACAGGACTGCTCTAACTGCTGATGAGAAAAGGTATTTAGCAGTTTATATTGACTAAAATAATTGCATTTCCATGTCTGTGTACTGTGGGAGACCGGATATAGTGAATGCAGGGTCCTGGGTTTAGTATACTTTTTAAGCTGTCATTTAATATATCAGTATAAACTACCCAGGTACTACTGTATACGGTGAGAGTACATGCCTTTTGAATTTCCTTTCCAGCCCTCCAGTACACATCAGAATTCTCTATGAATATTCAGACTTTGTGAAGGTCACAGCCATGTCCTCACTAATTCCACAATGCATTGCATGTAGCCTGTAGTTTTTACATTGTTCTTCACTGATAACTGCTTTGCTTTAAGTTCTCAAGTTTTTTTTTTTATAGGTTTACTTTAGGAAACTGACAAATACAGTTCATATATGGGTTTATTGCTTGTGATTTAGCTCCTGCTAAATGATTAGTGTGTGTTTCCTTAGATCCGCCTTGAAGGAATGCGTTTATTTCTCCTGTGGCTTCAAGCACTTCAGAACAACTGTAGTTGGGAGCAGCTCTGCATGTTTGCCTGCCTCATTCCTGGATTCCCAGCTCCCCCTTCTGATCATGGCATATATACGCTGGACAGTCTTATCAACCTTCCACTGAATGTACAAGAAAGTAAGATATTACTAGATCCACCCTCTTTCCCACATGTGCTACGTGTGCCAGTTACTTTCACAATTCATTCATGACTTCATCACTTGACAAGATCTTTTTACCTTGCTTTTTTTTCTTCTGAGTCTTACTTGCATAACAGAATTAATTGGAAATATGTTGTCAGTTTTAGAGCTAGACGCAACATAAGGTGCTGTATTTCTTAGCAGCAAACTGCAGCAGAATAATTATGGTCAGTTATGTTTTTTATTTTTGAATTGTGAAATAAAAACTGTTTATTGTAATTGTATATTACTCGGGGAGTTGGTACTTATGACTGTGATAGAACAACTAATCCTACCAAATAGCTTAAATGAGGCTACGTTGGAGGGGACTGGTTAGAATTAGGCTAGGGTGGAGGGGACTGGATAGAATGAGGCTAGGGTGGAGGGGACTGGTTAGAATGAGGCTAGGGTGGAGGGGACTGGTTAGAATGAGGCTAGGGTGGAGGGGACTGGATAGAATGAGGCTAGGGTGGAGGGGACTGGTTAGAATGAGGCTAGGGTGGAGGGGACTGGATAGAATGAGGCTAGGGTGGAGGGGACTGGTTAGAATGAGGCTAGGGTGGAGGGGACTGGTTAGGATGAGGTTAGGGTGGAGGGGACTGGATAGAATGAGGCTAGGGTGGAGGGGACTGGTTAGAATGAGGCTAGGGTGGAGGGGACTGGTTAGAATGAGGCTAGGGTGGAAGGGACTGGTTAGAATGAGGCTAGGGTGGAGGGGACTGGTTAGAATGAGGCTAGGGTGGAGGGGACTGGTTAGAATGAGGCTAGGGTGGAGGGGACTGGTTAGAATGAGGCTAGGGTGGAGGGGACTGGTTAGAATGAGGCTAGGGTGGAGGGGACTGGTTAGAATTAGGCTAGGGTGGAGGGGACTGGTTAGAATGAGGCTAGGGTGGAGGGGACTGGTTAGAATGAGGCTAGGGTGGAGGGGACTGGTTAGAATGAGGCTAGGGTGGAGGGGACTGGTTAGAATGAGGCTAGGGTGGAGGGGACTGGTTAGAATGAGGCTAGGGTGAAGGGGACTGGTTAGAATGAGGCTAGGGTGGAGGGGACTGGTTAGAATGAGGCTAGGGTGGAGGGGACTGGATAGAATGAGGCTAGGATGGAGGGGACTGGATAGAATGAGGCTAGGGTGGAGGGGACTGGATAGAATGAGGCTAGGGTGGAGGGGACTGGATAGAATGAGGCTAGGGTGGAGGGGACTGGTTAGAATGAGGCTAGGGTGGAGGGGACTGGTTAGAATGAGGCTAGGGTGGAGGGGACTGGTTAGAATGAGGCTAGGGTGGAGGGGACTGGTTAGAATGAGGCTAGGGTGGAGGGGACTGGTTAGAATGAGGCTAGGGTGGAAGGTTAAGGTCAGTGGGACTATGGATATCAGGTTTTTCTTAGCAGTGAATATTCCGATCAATGTGGCTGTTATTTTTTAAATTAGGATTTGCTAGGCTGCTATCTATGAGGCAGACATTTGATTTATAATTCTTATCTTCTCAGGTAATAATTTCAGTATGATTAACTTGTAATCTTTTTTTTTTTTTTTTTTTTTTTTTTAAAAAGATCAAGTTACAATAGAAGAAATTACACCCTTGGTTCCCCCCCAGTCTGGAGACAAAGCACAGGAAGATCTTACTAGTTATTTTCTTGAGGCCTTGTTAAAGTACATGGTGATACAGGTATGAGTTAATTAGGTATCACAGATGCACGCCTGTTATCCTCTCATAAAGTGAAGCCTCTATATGTAGATCATTGTGCTGCATCTCATACACTTTTAGGGCCTGTTTACACATAAATGTGCAGAAAAGTGCTTGAAAAATGGATGTGCATTGGCTTCCATTGAAGTGTGTTGACAGGCAGTGTTATGTATATTGATGCACATTTTAATGCATGTTTATGTATGGACACATTTTTATGCACGTTAAATTGCTATGCATTTTGTGGGTTATTACCTCTGACATCACATCTTTTTCCTGTTTGTGGGTTGAGAGAAGTGAGGGAGAAAAATAGAGAGAAACAGATGAACATATTTTTGTTTTGGAAAAGCATAGCAAATGAGATGTCTAGCATATAATCATTGCGATTTCTCTAGTTATATTGAGGAGGAGGAAACCAATGAGGAGATTGGGGCAAGTGCATCCATTTGAGTGCATCCATTGCTCACATGAGCATAAAGGGCAATTTTGGACCTAATACCAGGGTTTATGGTGTGTCACTCACTTATTGCTATAAACCCTGCCATTGAGACACCTCACTAGCCAGCTTTTCTCTGCACACACTATGCTTCCCCTCTGGCTGCTGTATGGGTATGCTTTAAGGGATAAAATAACCACTTGCACTCCAGACGATTTTACCCCTTCATGACCAGGGAAATTTTTTGCTATTTAGCACTGTTACTGTAACTGGTAATTGTGCTGTCATACAACACTGTACCCAAATGAAATGTATTTAATGAATGTATGAAATGTATTTAATTGTGTTTCACACAAATAGAGCTTTGTTTTGGTGGTATTGTGACAGGGTTTTTATTATATAAATGGGAAAAAAAAAAAAAAAAAATATATATATATATATATATATATATATATATATATATATTTCCTGCTATAAGCATATCCTTTAAAAAATTTTAACTAAAAAAAAAAAGAAAATTAAAAATTACATTTTTTCACAAATTTAGGCCAAAATGTATTCTGCTACATGTCTTTGTTTAAAAAAAAATCCCAAAGAGTGTATATTAATTGGTTTTGCTTGATCCCAGAAGACACTGTTGATGTACAGGTATGTGATTGTGCCTGTGCAAGCTGCCTGCCCACAAGTGGATAATACAGACCTTTTTTGAGTACCCAATTATTGGCTATACCATGCCACACCCCTTATCATACAGTAGAACTAAAAATGGAAAAATGAAGCAAAGGCGGGATTTTTGAGGCCCAACTACGCAAGAAATAAAATCCTAATTTTTTTTATTCAAATCACATCCATTAAAATTGAAGATAAGAAAAGCTATAAAAATACCAGGTTTACATGTTTTTTACCCCCATTTATTTGCAAAAAAGCTTGATGATTAAACACCATACACACAAGGGCTGTGTATTAATAACGCTGGGTCCCATATTCCTCAGGAACCTGTGAAGGGAGTGAAGAAACCCCTCTGAGACCCTCTAGAGAGAGAACAAAAAGATGAAAAATGCACATCAAAGGGGTCCAAGAGGGGATCAAAACTCCAGGGGCATATTAGGCATCATTTGGGTGTCGCAGCACTCCAAACAGCATCAGCACTGGTATTGCTGGCATATTCAATCATGTATATTTCTTCATGGTAAAGTCCCATGCAGGATAATTTAGTTCAAAACATCTAACAAATTTAAGGGACCCATGAAGTCCATAGGATAATCTGAAAGAGCTGGTTGATGTGTTTATCTCTGTGCAGCCAGAACAGTTCTCCAATCCGGTGCACACCCTGCTGTATTAATTCATGGGTCCATTATTCATAATGGGATAATTATTTAAAAGGGCAATCTGTGTGCACTGGCATATGTGAACTCCCATATTTTGTCAGACTTTAGCAGATGGAAAAATCATGGTGAGATCCAGTTTACTGAATATGAGATATGAGGGGCCTGTAGGAGAAAGGAAATTCTGCTGTATTACTGTATGTAAAGGTCTCATTTATGCTGGATCCCATTAATAAATCTAAAATATACTCAATTTTGTTTTTCTTTAGGTCCGGAGTTTAGAATGGCGGAACAGAGATAAGGAGGAAGGTGGCTTTGCCTTCTTGTTCTCAAACTTCAAAAAATACTACATGCCTTACATTTTCCCTGCAATGAGCAGAGAAAGCAGCCTATACAACCCAGTACTTGGTAAGCTCATAGTAACAGGAAAAAAAAGCACCATTTAATGTAAGCCCTGGTTCACACTGATGCGACTTTTGATGCATTCCAGAACACATGGAATCACATTACAAGTGACATAACATGAGTTTCTATGGAGGCTGTTCACATATGTGATTCTGATGCGATTAAAAAAGGGTCCTGTGCGTAGTTAGTGCAGTGCAATTTGTAACTACATACAGTCATGGCCAAAAATATTGGTGCCCCTGCATGTCTGTCAGATAATGCACCACTTCACCCAGAAAATTGTTGCAATTACAAATGTTTAGGCATTCTCATGTTTATTTCTTTTGTTAGTATTGGTATGACACAAAAAAGTGAGAAACAAAACGCCAAATCTGATACATCCCACGCAAAACCCCAAAAATGGACTGGACAAAATTATTGGCACCTTCTCAAAATTTAACAAACATTTGCATTCCAAGTTTGTGATGCTCTTGTAATTTGTAATTTAACTCACCTGTATCAATTGACAATGTAGAAATCACACCGTCCACCAGTTAAAATGGTGAAAAATTGAATCAACCTTTCTGTTGAGTGTCTGTGTGTGCCAGATAGAGCATGGAGAAGAGAGAGCAGCAAAGAATTGTCTCAGGATTTGAGAATAAAAATTGTGGAAAGACATGTACAATCTCAAGGTTACAAGTCCATCTCCAGAGATCTTAATGGTCTTGTACCCACTGTGTACAACATTGTCAAGACCGTTACAGCCCATGGCATTGTTGCTAATCTCCCTGGACGAAAGAGAAAATTTGATTAAAGGATGCAGCTAAGGATTGTTCGAATGGTGGCTAAAGAACCTCGATCAACTTCCAGACAAATTCAAGCTGACACAGGGTACAACTGTGTCAGCTCGCACTATAAGTTGCCATTTGAATGTAAAGGTACGCTATGGTAGGAGACCCAGGAGGACCCCACTGCTGACACACAAACATGAAAAACCCAGAATGGAGTTTTCCAAAACTTACCGGAGGAAGCCAAAATCCTTGGAGAATGTGCTGTGGATAGACAACACAAAATTACAGCTTCTTGGTAAAGCCCATCATTCTACTGTTTTCAGAAAAAGAAATGAGGCCGTTAAAAAAAAAAAAAAAAAAAAATGCAGGCCTTTAAAAAAAAAAAATACAGTCCCTACAGTCAAACATAGTGGAGGTTCACTGATGTTTTGGGGTTGCTTTGCTGCTTCAGGCACTGGATTTCTTGACCGTGTGCATGGCATTATGAAATCTGAATACTACCAAAGAATTCTGGGGTGAAATGTAGGGCCCCATGTCAGAAAGTTGGGTCTCCTTTAGAGGTCATGGGTCTTACAGCAGGACAATGACCCAAAACACACGTCAAAAAGCACCCAGAAATGGTTTACGACAAAGCCCTGGAGAGTACTGAACTGGCCAGCAATGAGTCCAGATCTCAATCCCATAGAGCACCTGTGGAGAGATCTCAGAAAGGGGTTGGGGAAAAGGAACCCTTCCAATCTGAGATACCTGGAGCAACTGGTGAAAGAAGAGTGGTCCAAAATTCCAGTAGAGGTGTAAAAAACGAATTGATAGTTACAGGAATCAATTGATTTCAGTTATTTTTCCAAGTTGGTGTGCTACCAAATATTAAATTGAGGGTGCCAATAATTTTGTCCAGTCCATTTTTGAAGTTTTTGGTGGAATGTGTCAGATTTGGCTTTTTGTTTCTCCACTTTTTGTGTCATACCAATACAAACAAAAGAAATAAAAGTGAGAATGCCTAAACATTTGTAATTGCAACAATTTTCTGGGCGAAGTGGAACATTGTCTGACAGAAATGCAGGGGTGGCAATCATTTTGGCCATGACTGTAGATTTGAATGGAAATCACTTATCTGTCCTAAGATACCACAAATTCAGTACATTTGCAAGTCATTGCTTTGTTGCTTATCTACCATCCCTGGCCCATGTCAGTAGAGAGACAGAGTGAGAACACTGTCAAAAACAAATCGCTCCTGAATCGCTGAACAACTACCAGTTGAAATTGCACTGAAACTGGCAGGAAAATCACACTGCCTCTATGTGGACCTACACTAATTCTGATTCCCTCAATTAACAACTGCAATATTAAACTTGTTGCCACTATGATTAGCAGGCACCATATTTTGGCAGATCTGTTTGCTTCAGTATGCAAGAGCCTGCAGAGTTTTTCTAGTATTGTTGACTCCCTGAAGATTGGTCTTTGTTTTCACTTTGCCACACCCCTGGCCCCTTATGTAACCATGCTGTAGAACCTTGCCATTGGTTGCTCAGACATTTAGCTTTGTCATATGATGGGGGCATTATTACGCATTCTGTATCCTGAAGGTTCACATATTTCAGGAATTCCAGCTGTGCTACTAAAGGTTAAGATAAAGATATGATTTGGCACCTCTTTGAGTTGGTGTAGGAAGAAGAGGACTGAATTTTTTTCTTCCCCATTTAAAAGGTCATTCTTCCCCCCCCCCCTTCCTGCACCCACTGATTCTGGTCCTAGCCATGATCCTTCACCTCCCTGTTCCTCTCTTGAAGCCATGAATTTAATACCTATTTAAAGGATAAGTTCACCTTTTTGTAACATGTTACATGTTAACACCCATATTTAAGGTGTAGCATGCTACAGATGCACCGACCTCCAATCCCTTGTTATGACAGCTGGTTGGGGGATCTTCTGCTGTCTGCTCAGCTGCGACATTCTTTTACAGTATTCTGTGAATGGGAAAACTACACGTTCCCGACAGCCTTGGCAGCTGTCAGCTTGTAGTTCTCAATGAACTACCAGAGCGCTGTTGAGTTCTCTAGGTAGTTCATTGAGCTTCCTGTCATTCTGCAATTGCCTGCCAGTATTGGAAGTATGGGCAGACAGCTACACTGTCTGGCCTTTACTCAGATCGTGGGTGCTATGCTTTACAGGTTCCTACCAAAAAATAAATAATAAATGCATATTCTTTTACCAGCAAAAAAATCTGCATTTATTATTTTTTATGTAAAGGTGAACTTATCCTTTTAAGCTCTGTTTTGGACCTTTCACATGGTTAATGACCTGCTTTACTCCACCTTGTGACAGTGACTGATGACTGGCCACTCTGGCTCAGCACTGCATCCTGGGAGGAAGGTTGCATGCTCCGCTCCCACCCAACCCCCTAAATTACTTAGGAAAACATGCTATTTCAAAGGGCCCCAATACATGAACATCAAGAGCATGTAGTGCAGTTAAATATCAGTTTTCTTTCATGAGAAGCAATCACTTTGCCTTAAATGGGCAAGGGGACAAGAATCCGTTTTCATCAAATCCTTATTGCAATATCCTGTAAGTGTGTATATGTTTTTAACTTAATGGTGTAGTTGTTTTCAAGGAACTTGCTGCACGCTGTAGATAATTTTATACATCTTAAACCTTTGCAGAGATTCCACAGATGAGACCAAAACCTCACTATGTGTTGGTGCGGAGGGACACCGAGAGCAATGAGGTTCATTACTGCACCAAAGAGCCCTTTCTCAATGCCCGGGTGATTGTCATTCGATGGCTGGTGTCCTTCTGGTTGGAACCCAAGCCACACACTGGGACTCACATTCCGGGAACTGAAGGGGAGAATGTGCCAAAGAATATCCAGGTATTCCTATAGGTCTCACTTAGAAGAGTTAGACTGCGTTAAACAACAACATATGGTGTTGTGAAAGCATAATTCAGCTTTTTGTATTTTTACACACACGCACACACGGAAATAAGTATTTGATCCCCTGCTAATTTTGAATGTTTGCCCGCTCACAAAGAAATGATCAGTCTAAAAATCGAATGGTAGGTGTATTGTAACACTGAGAGACAGAATAGCAACAAAAAATTCAAAAGAAATGCATGTCTAACAAATTATGCACTGATTTGCATGTTTATGAGGGAAATAAGTATTTGATCCCCTTCACAAAACATGACTTAGTACTTGGTGGCAAATCCCTTGTTGACAATCACAGAGGTCAGACGTTTCCTGTAGTTGGCCGCCATGTTTGCACACATCTCAGGAGGGGTTTTGTCCCACTCCTCTTGTCAGATCCTCTCCAAGTCATTAAGGTTTGGTGGCTGACATTTGGCAACTCGAACTTTCAGCTCCCTCCACAGATTTTCAATCAGATTAAGGTCTGGAGACTGGCTAGGCCACTCCAGGACCTTAATGGGCTGCTTCTTGAGCCACCCTTTGTTGTCTTGGGCAAGTGTTTTGGGTCATTCTCATGCTGGAACACCCATCCACAACCCATTTTCAATGCCCTGGCTGAGAGAAGAGGGTTCTCACCCAAGATTTTATGGTACATTGTCCCGTCCATCGTCCCTTTGATGCAGTGCAACTGTCCTGTCCCTTTAGCAGAAAAACACCCCCAAAGCAGAATATTTCCACCACCATGTTTGACAGTTGGGATGGTGTTCTTGGGGTCATAGGCAGCATTCCTCCTCCTCCAAACACGGCGAGTTGAGTTGATGCCAAAGAACTCGATTTTTTGGTCTCACATTGGGCAAAACATTCAAAATCAACAGGGGATCAAATACTTTTTTCCTTCAGTATGTGTGTGTGTATGTATGTATGTATGTATATGTGTATATATGTATGTGTGTGTGTGTGTGTATATATATATATATATATATATATATATATGTGTGTGTGTGTGTATATGTATATACAGGGGTTAGACGAAAAAATGGAAACACTACATGATTTGCAGGTTTGAAACCGACGACATGTTTCCTGTTGAAAGTAGAAGTGATATAGCATTATTTTGCTTCCGCTGTGTGATGAGACACCTTGCCAACAGATGGGAAGCCTCACTTTCCTCATTCACTGTGTGCACTGCTAGTAATATGGAGTCATTTCAGAGTTTACTGAGCTTCAAAGAGAGCAAATTGTTAGTGGCGGCTTAGCTGGTGTCTCTGTGGTTGAAGTTGACAATTTATGTGCTGTGTCGTGAGGTATAGTATCAAAGGTTGTAATGGCATATACACTTTCCGGGAAAACGTTGTTTGATAAGCATAAGCGCTGTTGACGTGGTCAACTGACTAAAAGACAAAAGGGACATTGCACAGGATTGTGACCTGGAATAATTTTTTTGTGTATTTTTTAAGAGAGCTGCTGCAAACCTAGCTGCCCAGGAGGAAAGTAGAAATGAGAGTGGAGAAAGGACCACAGAGCCCGAGCAATCCCACTCAAACACTAGCACCTTGACAGAACGTGAGCCTAGCGTCTCCAGCCTGTGCAGCATTGCTGAAGAGCACATAACGGACTATGAGATCATCCGCAGGTTCTTCTCCAGTAGGCGCACCAATGTTGACTTTCTCATTGAGATCTTCCGGCAGGTGAGCTCCGTTTCAAATATCCATTTAAGGGAAAACGGTGGTGGTTTTGATCAACATGATTTTTTTTTTTTGCCTTTCTTTTATGTTTATACATTTTTAGCTGTTTTTTTTTTTTTTTTTTTTTTTACCTACCTTTGCACTATGTGTATATACTGTGTAATATATGTTTTACAGATAAGGATCCATTCACACCAGGTGTGTTGGGACTGTGTTTAGCAGTTATTCCAGTGCAGTCCCACTGCAAGATGCCTTGTCTCCTATGTTCCTGGTTCACTTCACTGTGTGTGCAGTGAAAAAAGTATGGCATGCCTTACTTTTTTTCAGTGCAGTGCAGTTCGAGGGAATCCACTGCCTTCCGTGGCGCGGTGTCCGATACAACTTAGTGAACTGTCACTGTATGACATTTAAATGAAGACGAACAGTGCGATGTACCATGATCGGTGCATCAGCACTGCAGTGATTCCACTGCTCCATACAGCAGCTGCAGCGGCTAGTGTGAGTTAACCCTAAATGTTTAATATCTAATAAAGGGGTCCCAAAGCAATATGGGTTAGCTAAAGAGACTGCTTCCACTGTCCAGTGAAAAACCTTAGGTTTTTTTCTGTCTGCTAAGGGTTTCTGACTAACGGGACATTTATCAAGCAAAAAAAAAACAAAAAAATTAAATGCAAATCACACTGTCTCTATTTTTTTGGATGTATGCAACTTCTGCACTTGCAGAACTTGGCAGTAAACTTAGCTTCCCACAAGTCAGGCAAAACACTAGAGATGACAGATTTACTTCTCCAAACAGGTGCAGTCACTTGCGATCAGGGGCCGATTTTATTCTGTTGCACCTTCCTCAGAGTACACAGGACACTAGTGGTGTCTGGTCCTCTTTAATGCCTACCTGCCCTGAAGTGTTTCTATGGTCAAAAATACAATTATATTTCTAATGAGGTATTCAATTCCATGGCTCTCTAGCACAGCAATTTCCCAAATAATGCTCCATAAGTTGCTAAACATACTTTTGATCCATCCAGTGGGGCACATCTTGTTCATTTTGGTGGCTCATGATATTCATGCCCTTTGAATATGTACAGCCATGTCAGCAAAATTTAGAATGCTTTGTTCTGGAACTAGAATTGTGTGTTAAGCATGTTGTATGCATCTGGGCATTGACCTGTGATATCAGCTATAACCTCTCTGGCCATGCTGAAGAAAAAAAGGTGTTCAGGAGCATTAAATAGATATTTTGTTGTCTTCTCTGACAAATCACTGCTGGCTGCAATGCAGACTGGGAGATGTACACTAGGTTTGGAAAAGTCAAATCTATAGTGCAATGTGACTTCTGCGCTACCCAAAATATCTAAAGTGTAAATGTGCTAGAAAACTGGTGAAAAACTTGTGATCAGGTGCAGCTCACATCAATGTGCGTTCCCACACTTAATACAAATTAAAATTAAAAAGATAAATGTGGCACTCCCTTCACATCTAAACTAAATCATAATAAATGAATGTAAGATAAACGCATGTGCTAATATATTAAATGGAACTACAACCCCAAGTCTTATATAATACAATAAATAGTAATTAATATGTGACAGTAAAGCAATTAATTCATTTAATCTATATTAGCCACCTTCATGAAAATTGCGTGGCTAATATAGATTCAATGAATCACATATGGGAAGAAGATGCATGTGCTGCACCAATGAGGATTTGTTTGGACTGTCACAGATTGATTGAATTGAACTATTTGCTTTACTGTCACTTATTGATTACTGTTTATTGAATTATATTACACTTGGGGTTGTATTTCTATGTAATATATTAGCACATGCGCTTATGTTACATGCATGTATTATGATTTAGTTTAGGTCTGGAAAAGTATGCATTCTTCACATGAAGCAGCTGCAGAGTTGCAGCAAATGGACGCAGAGATACTACACTTGGAAATGAGAGAAAGTTGGCAGTTAGGAAGTGATCACAGCATAAAGTGGTATTTATTAAAATAAGGATCAAATGTTATTGTATTTATTGTCCTCCTATTGATCTCCTTTACACCAGAGAGAGAGGAAATTTAGAAAACAATCATATGAGAAAGTTGGAAAAAAATGTCTGATCTGTTTATTTGATTTATTTTAATAATGCAAGCAGGACCATGGGAATTGTTAGTGAAATATGTTTAAAGTCCATACAAACTTTCTGTTAAAACCAGCTAAATGCCTTCAGCATGCATCAGCACTAAGCAGCGGTCTCTCTGCAGTAGTTTCACACCCCTTGCTGAGTCAGTATTACAGTGTTGCAATCAACAGGAAATGTGAGCTTTACTGCTAGAAATGCACTAGGTTAGATTAGACCAGGATGTGTCAGAATGCTGTTTCCACACAAAAAGCTGTGGTCCTTCACTGCATACTGACAGTAGACATGTTTTTTATACAATGGCTGTGGTTGATATTTACAGAAATCAACCTGCAAGACTGATCACCATTTATTTGTCTTTTTAACACTGATTATCAAAGACGCAGTCAACATTTTGTCATGCAGAGCAGAAAATTGAATTGATCCTTGTTAGCATGTGTTTTTACAAGCTGTTGTCATACCTTACTTTTAGGTTGGCCATAGAGGGATCGAATCTTAGCTAGTTCAGTAAGGATCAGCCGAGATTCGATCCTTCTATGGGCAGGTTGATTGTATCCAAATCGATCCATCGATCAACTTTTTGGTACAACCAACCTGTAGGCTTTTTAGCATGTGATTACTGCCCGTGGCTATATTCGCTGGGAGTAATCATTGTATTCTGCCAACCAGGAAGGCTCAGGAAGTGGAAGGCACAGTCAGTGTTGGAAGGAAAGAAAATCGATTAATCTGTGGCTTGCATTAGATGTAATATTGATATTGATAATTGTATTATATTTTTCTGACAGTCATTCTTGCTGCCAGTGTGTGAAGCAGCTGCCATGCGTAAGGTGCTAAAAGTTTATGAACAGTGGATAAAGCAGAAAGAGAAGCCTCTGTTCATGCAAGAACCAGAGAGGCCTTCTGAAACAGATGATGGGATTGTAATATCTGTTGAGCGCCAAGAAGATTCCCCTGCAACCTGTGAAAAGGGAAAGGAGAGAGAAGAGGTAAGAGACTATGTATAAGGGTGTAAATGTTTGCAGAACTGAGGAAAGTCAGATCTTCTCATTCAGATTATGCTCTCCATAACGTGCAGTAGTTTGCCGTCTTTAGCTTTGTATCCATGAGACAGTCTCCAAACTTTCTAAACAAAGGGCCGGATTACTGTCCTTACAAATTTAGAGG